TATCACCCGCACCTCCCGGCAACGCATAAACATTCCCAGCACCCGCTAAATCCCCCCTGCACCTTCCCGAATCCCTCCTAAATCCTCTCTGCATCCTTACAATCCTCCTGCCTGCTCTGAAATCTTCCCTGCACCCTCCCTGCACCTCCCGCATCCCTCTGCGTTCTCTCTGCGTCCCTGCAACGCTCTGTACCCCTCCCGCGTTTCCCTTAACCCCCCAGCCCTGCATCCCACTGGTTCCCTCCTAATTCAGCTCTGCCCCGTTACACCCCTCCTGCATTCCTCTAAATCCTCCCTCCGTCCTTATATCCCCTGCATGACTTTGCACACTCCCTGGGGCTCCTTCTTGCACCCCTTTTGCACTCCCTTCTGCACCCCGGCATCCCACCCAGCATCGGGGGGGTTTCTCTAGTCCCCTCCTGGTCCCTCACACCCCTCTCCAGGAGGAGCCACCCTGCCTGCACCCTGACCCCCCCACACCTGCTCGTGCACTCACGGGAGGGGATTTTCATCTCTGAGGACACAAAGATCCTGCAGGTGCTGCTCTCTTACCCATGGCTGTCGGGTGACTGTCACCCTAAAACTTTCCTAAAGGATGTGGGTGGAGGGGGAGGGAGCCCTGGGGATGCCAAGCTGGAGGGGAGCAGCCTCACCTGAGCCTGCAGCACCTGGGGAGGACTTCATGGGGTCCTGGGAGGGTGGAGGGGACTCAGCCTGCCCCAGTGTGCTTGCCCAGCGCTGGTGCTGAGAGCCATTCCCTGTGGAGCAGGAAGTGTCCTGGGGTTGTGCTGAGCACCCCGGGGAGCTGGGATGAGGGTGGTGCTGGTCTGGGGTGTCACAGCTCCCCCCAGGGCTGTGTCTTGCCCCTGGAAATGATGAACCTGTTGGGCGTCGCAGGTGCGTGTTTCTAACGGGGAGTGTGACCATGGCCACGGGGGGCACGGGCAGCCCCCCCAGCGCCCCTCGCCACACCAACCGCCTGATCAATGAGAAGTCCCCCTACCTCCTGCAGCACGCTCACAACCCTGTGGATTGGTAAGACTGACCAGTGTCTTTCTCCCTCCTCCTCTGCTCTTATCTGTGGGGCTGAGGACTCACTGCCATGGAAGCAATGGCAGGGGGAGCAGCCTGGCCTCCTGTCCAGCTGCCCCTACCAATCTGTGGTTTCTCTGGCAGCTTTAGAGGATCCCATAAATCCTGGCAGCAGTGAACCTTGAAGCTCCTGTCTTGTCTTCCCTCCACAGGTACCCTTGGGGCCAGGAAGCCTTTGATAAAGCAAAGCAAGAAAACAAGCTGATATTCCTGTCAGGTAACCAGAAACAAGACATATTTCATGTTTCCATGTGTTGTCCAGTAAATGACCAGATAAGCCTGGCTGTGTCCTGAGCTGGTGTGTGAGCTCCCACTTAGGTAAGCAAGGACACTGGGCATGAACTGTCTGTCAGGAAGAGAGGGACACATGCATTAATAGCTCTTGCTGAAGATGGGGCTCTATCCAGGGGCCTTCCTGGCTACCAGAGTCTTTGGCCAGATCTTAGGAGCAAGAGCTGGAGAGCCTAGGAGATCCTGCAAGCCTCCATGCTTGCAGAAGGCCTTTTCCATCTCTTCTCCAGGGGGGCAGCAGCTGTTTCCCATAGAAGATTCCCCACCTCTGAGCTATCTCCCCATAATGCATGACCTGCTGCCTGCACAGGGCCTTTCCTCACTCACCTGAGCTTGTTTTCAGTTGGCTACTCCACCTGCCACTGGTGCCATGTGATGGAGGAGGAGTCCTTCAAGAACGAGGAGATTGGAGAGATTATGAGCAAGAACTTTGTGTGCATCAAAGTGGATCGTGAGGAGCGACCAGATGTGGACAAAGTGTACATGACCTTTGTGCAGGTAAGGGAGGCATGGGTAGAGCTTGGGAGGCTTTGACTGGCTTTGTCAAGATGAGGTTCATGGTCATGTTCCTCAGACAAGAAGAATGTGGGGTGGTCTGAACGGGGCCGTGCATGATCACAAGGGTCGAAAGAAGCACTTGGACATGTCAGTAGGGTGTAAAGCAGAGGGTGCCTCTTCTGTGACCTTGGTGTGCCCGTGGTTTGTCTTTCAGGCAACCAGTGGTGGAGGTGGTTGGCCAATGAGTGTCTGGCTGACTCCAGACCTAAAGCCCTTTGCAGGGGGGACCTACTTCCCTCCTGAAGATGGAGTTCATCGCCTTGGCTTTCGGACTGTGCTGCTCCGAATCGCAGAGCAGGTACCAAGCAGGAATAACCAGCAGCACTCAACCAAAAGGGCAGCAGGGGAAGTGGTCTGGGCTTGATGGTGACTGAGAGAGAGAGAGTCAGAAGAAACAGTATCCCAGAGAGTGTGTCAGAGCTTTGGGTGGGTTCGAGGTGGATCTGGGGATGGGGCCTGAGAACTGAAGGTGCAGTTTGGACCAGTGCAATGCAGGAAGCAGAAAGAGAGACAAAACTTGGGAGAACTGACTTTCCCTCTCCTTATCTTAGTGGAAGGAGAACAAAGATGCCCTGCTGGAAAACAGCCATAAGATCCTGGAAGCGCTGCGATACACGTCTGAGACGCGTGTGCAGGGCCAGGAGTCACCCCCACCAGCCAAAGAGGTGCTGACCACCTGTTTCCAGCAGCTCTCTGACTCCTACGATGAAGACTACGGTGGCTTTTCTGAATCCCCCAAGTTCCCCACCCCAGGTCAGTCTGGCCTCTGCTGCTGAGCCCTGCCGTGGGGCAGGCAGCACTGGGGGGCAGAGCCCACCCTGCAGCCTGTCCCCTGCTCCCTGTCTTCCAGTGAATTTGAATTTCCTCTTCACGTACTGGGCTCTGCACCGAACAACTCCAGAAGGTGCCCGGGCTCTGCAGATGGCTCTGCATACCCTCAAGATGATGGCCCATGGGGGTATCCATGACCACATTGGTCAGGTAGGAGGAAAGCCTTGGGGGTCAATCCCTGGCATGCCCAGAAAGTGCTGCGTGGTGATGTGTCCACTTGGTCTTTGCAGGGCTTTCATCGTTACTCCACAGACCAGCACTGGCATGTCCCTCACTTTGAGAAGATGCTGTATGACCAGGGGCAGCTGGCAGCCACGTACAGCAGAGCCTTTCAGGTACAGCCAGGGCATCCTTCTGTGGAGGGGGACTCACTTGGCACACCACGTGTGGGCTGGGGAGGGATGGCTTTGTCTGGGGAGCAGTTTCAAAACCTGTTCCTCAAGGTGCTGCCCATCCCATGGGCGTGAAGTGGTCCCATACCCCCCTTCAACTACTGGTCTTCATCCAGAAAAGCTGCTCAAGTCCATGACAGTTTAACTCCAGGGTTTTGAAGATGACAGAGAACAGCTTTCTGACTGGCCTTTGCAAGTCAGAAAACATGTGCTGCTGCCTCTGGTTTAGGTGTAACTCCAGGTTTGCTCTCCAGTGCCTGTAGATTTCTTACACAGAGATCTTACCCTCAATCCATCCCACTTTTAAAATCCCTGGATGTGTTTCCCCTCCTTTGCCAGCTCTTTAAATTTGAATCTCCTACTATATCTTGCTGTGTCTCTTGCCTCCCCATGGACACCCTCCCGTGCCTCCCACAGATCTCTGGTGACAAATTCTTTGCTGATGTTGCCCAAGACATTCTTCTCTATGTCTCACGTGACCTGAGTGACCAGGTGGGTTGTTCCTTGAGCTGGGCCTGAGTGAACTGCTTACCCTGTGCTGGGATGTGGCTGCTTTTCCCTCCCTCCCTTCCCAGCTGAGGTCAGACTGGGGCACTGCTGGGGCTTGCTGGCTGGACTGCCCGCCCAGCAGTGATGGGAGCTGGCTGAAGGTGCTGTCCCAGCAGCTGAAGGGTCTTTCTGTTGCTTTTGTCCCAGACAGGAGGTTTCTACAGTGCAGAAGATGCTGATTCCTACCCGACCACTGAATCTGAACAGAAACGGGAAGGAGCTTTCTGTGTGTGGGCAGCTGAGGAAATCCGGGCTCTCCTTCCTGACCCTGTCGAGGGGGCGACAGAGGGGACAACCCTGGCAGATGTCTTCATGCACCACTACGGGGTGAAGGAAACCGGCAATGTCAGCCCCATGAAGGTGAGGGAGAGAGCAAAGACCTGCCCAGTCCTGGGAGCATCAGTGGGGACCGCCCACCCGTGGGTGCGTGGGAGGATGGCAGAGCATCCCCAAACCACGCGGGGTTCAACACCCCCCACCCCCCAGGCTCAGCCTGGTCGTTGAACGGGGATTGTCTTTCCAGGACCCCCATCAGGAGCTGAAGGGCAAGAACGTCCTTACGGTGCGGTGCTCCCCGGCGCTGACGGCGGCGCGGTTCGGGCTGGAGCCGCGCGGTGCGGGGGCGGCGCTGCGGGAGGGC